CTTTCTTGACAATGAGTATTTCCTTTTATGACATTGACTTACTATATCGCAACACAAGCAACTTATCCCCCGTAAGGGTGTATCCGACTTCCCTATGCTATTAAGAAGTCTTGGGTAGCTACCTTCTACCCGTTCAACCAATTATTTTGCACCTCTTGCTTAGTTGCCTCATAGTTGTCAAGTCCTACAACTCATTGTTTGGTGCTTTCACACCTCCATCATTATCTGGGTCACCACACTCCAACTGCATGCTCTGCAGCTTAGGCTATGCCATTCCCATTTCCATTGGGATTCCTTTGGCAAGGGGTTCTCATGAACCCACCAACATAGCCTCAAGGTATCACACCTTGGCACATTTGGTGTCTCCACACCATCGGCTCCACGAGCCTACCTCTATGACATTTCCCCTTCGTGTTTATGTCTTTGCCAAGACCAACACCGCTCTTTCTCATGCCAACCATCCGTTAGCACTGCACCATAGAGGTCACACACAACTTTGCGTCAAAGTTGTTTTCTTTTTGGGAACACCTTTCCCACGACTTTAGCATGGCACATTTTGCCATCGATGAGATACTCTCTGTTCTCATCCTTGGATCCTATGATCCCCCCCCATCCTTTGTGGGGTACAACGCACCTCAGTCCAAATGCTTCCATCAGTCCTTTTAGGACCATCCCTTGACTCTACTTGAGTCGTCTAGCAGTTTTGGACTTGGTTAATCCACAGACCCGTAAGGTCCTACTTGTGAGGCACTAGCTCACTGGAATACACTTCTTGCATTCCTGTCCTACTCAAAAGGACTATTTTCACAAGTGTTACTCCGACACTTGATTTTGTTCTCTGGGGGCAACCTTTGCCCCTTAGGACTACTTGTCCATGTGATGAGAATACCAACTCATCCACTTAATACACCCCTAACTCCTTGGGTTGTTCCAGCATTTATTAGAGGTAGCCCCGGCTACCATTTCGAGGACTCGTGTCCTCATCCATACTTGACCTCTCACGGTCATCCATTCCGGTCTCATCTTCATGAGCACCAGCCTCAACCATGTGAGGATAAACTTGTGACTCCTTTATTGTTTTTGGAGTCTCTATCTTCCCCGTGATCCCAACTATAGTTGTTTACCCCAACTACATTAGCCCGTTTGCTGAGTCAAACGCTCATCTGAATCACCTCCTCAACTCAATGAGGAAAACCTTGCACTGTTCCCAAGATCCCAAAGTCGTTCCATTATTGGCCCCTTTTCTATCCACCACCTTGTCTACAAGTTCACACATGAACTGTAATGGAGAGCCATGTCTTCCCGACCTGCTACTCCTCAAATATAGGCCCACTTCTCGGACCTTCCGTTGCCAACACCAGTGGTGATATACTTGAGTACCAATAAAAGTCGGACTAAGGAACAGCTCCGATACCAAGTTGTAAGCGACTAATTTTTCCATTTTACTTTAGTCACTTAACCGCACCTCCGACCACTTGGAGGAGTCTCATTCACAACCTCAATAAGTCCCAGTTAGGACTTGGGGCTTGCTAGCCCCGAGAATGGCCTCCGTGCCACTCCACCTTTGCACTTGGTCCAAGTGCTCCACTTGTCCGATCCCATGACCGACACCCCAAGGTACCCCCGACATATCGGCCCGTTACGCTAAGGCCATGCCCATTCACCTTGGTCACACCGGTGGTCTAACACCACCTGCATCATTGTTCCGTCTCTCAAAGACTGGACCATCCGTCCATGAGCGATCATCCCTGATCTACTCCTTAGCATCCTTAGGATGCCCGCAGACATGGGGAATAGCCTTCCCCGACAACTCCTTTCCAGTCCCCACCAAGTCCCTTTTAGTCTATGGCCGTGTTCGCCAACACTGCCACTGGATCAAGGCCCGCAGGCCTGACCGCTAAGTCCCACTGTCCTTTGGGACTTCCTCACCATGTGACCGTCTCCTTGGTCACTGCATTAGAGGCCTACTCCTCTTCCCTTTCACCGTTTGGGACTTTGGGACAACATTTCGGAACACCGTGGCCTTACGCAAGCCTCATGGGTACTCTCCTCGCCTTTCGCCTTTAGGTGCTCTAGCCATGGGCTTAGAGCGAGGTTCCGTTGAGCCACGACAGGTACCCAAGTAGGTAGTGCCACCCACACTTGGACTGGGAGCATCGGCCAGTCGATCTCCCGGGGGAACTAGAGCCGGCTCTTGAACACTTCACCAAGCTACCCCGCTTGTCGGTCCGTGTTCACTCTAGTCTTGGACTTCCCAGTGGGCAGCTCATCACCCAACACTGGGTCCGGCCTTCCTGGGCCAAACTGGCCTTTCCTGGCCAAACTGGCCTTTCCTGGCCAAACTGGCCTTTCCTGGCCAAACTGGCTCCACTGCAGTCCTCCCCCTACTATACTTTTGGAGCTCACCAAACCCCCCAGGGTCTGGGAGACGAACGCTTTGGGCTTTCACCCTCTCAGGCTCCGGACTCGGACTCGGACTCGGACTCGGACTCGGACTCGGACTCGGGCTCGGTCTCGGCCTCGGCCTCGGTCTCGGTCTCGGTCCCGATCTCGGTCTCGGTCTCGGTCTCGGTCTCGGTCCCGGTCTCGGTCTCGACTTCGGACTCCATCTCGGACTCCATCTCGGACTCCATCTCGGGTCCATCTCGGGTCCATCTCGGACTCCATCTCGGACTCCATCTCGGACTCCATCTCAGGTCCATCTCAAACTCCATCTCGGACTCCATTTCGGGTCCATCTCGGGTCCACCTCAGACTCCATCTCGGACTCCATCTCGGGTCCATCTCGGACTCCATCTCGGACTCCATTTCGGGTCCATCTCGGGTCCACCTCGGACTCCATCTCGGACTCCATCTCGGGTCCATCTCGGACTCCATCTCGGACTCCATTTCGGGTCCATCTCGGGTCCACCTCGGACTCCACTTCGGACTCCTTCTCGGACTCCATCTCGGGTCCATCTCGGACTCCACTTCGGACTCCAACTCGGGTCCATCTCGGACTCCACTTCAGACTCCAACTCGGGTCCATCTCGGACTCCACTTCGGACTCCAACTCGGGTCCATCTCGGACTCCACTTCGGACTCCAACTCGAGTCCATCTCGGACACTCCCACGTGTCATGTGTTGGCCCTTTTGGGTCCCTTTTTGGAGCCTCGCCTTTTGCTCGCTTCGTGCTCGTTCCCCGAGCACTTCATTGGGAGTTCCACTCCCGCTCTTGACTTTTCAAGTCGGAGCTTTTGGTCCAAACGTGTTACGCTCATTTGGCTCTCGCTTCGGCCACTACCATGTGGCGCCCTTCCGGCTCCACTTTGGGGCCTAGGGATTTTGTGTCTCACACCAAGGCAGCGTCAGACGGAAAGACGAGGTAAGCTAGCAAATTGGAAAGGAAAAAATTGTGGCTTACAATTTGGTATCGGAGCGGTCTCGGGTCCGACTCTGTTGGTTGGCTAAGGGAATCACACCACATATTGATTGACATTTGGCTGGTCCAATTTACTCCCGCTGGGCTCGACCCAAGGGGTAGGGTGTCAAGAGAGCGAGGCTCTCGGGAGAGTTGTGGCTCTCAGCTTCCGTTCACGAGGGCGTGAACTTGCAGGGAAGCATGGTGGATTGTAAGCAACCAAAGGGAACGACTCGAGAGACAATCCATGGGGTTCAAATATAGAGGGAAAGGGCCCATGAACAAGAGTGCACCCCCTTTTCCAAACGGTTAAGGGTCTTGGGATATTTGGGGTTAAGCGTCCTTGGGTGTGAATAATACTGGGTTGGGTGAGCTCTCAGGAAGTCCAAACTCAAGAGCTTACAGCCTTGTTTAGGACTTCCACTGCCGCTATCCTTCTCGACCTAGTCGTCATTTTTTTCATTCTCCATCTCCCATCCCTCACCACCCATCTCATCCTCCTCTTCATTCTCATTCATGTCCTCATTCCACTTGTTCTTGAGGAGGGGGTGCTGTCAAGAATCCCCCAATTCTTGCCACATTCTTGACTCTCACCAGATTTCTGACCCGTAGACCACATTCCTGACTCTCAAGACACTTCCCTATTCCTGACTCTCTGATTTCCCATACGATTCCTGAGTCTTGAACCACATTCCTGATGATGACGTGGCACCTCCTCAACCTCAGCTATATTTAGGCCATCCTCGATCCAAGAGTGGTGGAGCTTCATCAACCTATAGTATATATAGGTCAGCCTTATTCCATTTCTCCACAATCTGAATCAATGCTAGTCTAAGGCCTTTTCCTCATTTCCACTAGCTTTTCTCTTTGTCTTTTGCATTTTCCAGTCCTAATCTTGTTGGGGGTCTTGACAGATAGGCCCACTCTTAGGACCATCCGATGCTAACACCAATGGTGACATACTTGAGCAGCAATAAAAGTGAAACTAAGGAACAACTCCAATACCAAATTGTCCATGACTAATTTTTCCATTCTACTTTAGTCATTTAACCACACCTCCGACCACTTAAAGGAGTCTCATTCACAAACTCTATAAGTCTAATTTAGAACCTAAGGCTTGTTAGCCCAGAGAATGGCATCCATGCCACTTGAAAACTCCTGGAATCTCTAAACTAGGAGGAAACGTCCACACGAGATCTTCCTAGGAGTTTCAAATCTAATCTAGTCCCTAAAACTAAAACTACACTACAAGAAGAGTGCACTTACCTGCTTGTGCCAAGCCAAGTAGAGACTGTGAACATGTGCTTGAAGGTGCTAGTCCCACGCCTTTGATCCCTTGAAGGCGGTGGGTAAGTAAGACATTGCTATGAAGTGCCGAAGAGATAGGCAGAAAGACGATGTAATGCAATGTATTTTGTATTAGGGATAAGTCTAAAAACATTCTAAGTCCTACTTTTATAGTCGCTTCTGCTCACGTCAAGGTTAGGAATACAGTCCTAATCTTGAACCTCTCAAGTTTAATTTCCTAAGCTTGAATCCTCGAGCTTGTCTTTTTCTCCCTTCTCCACTCTCCCACGACTGCCTTGTGCTGCGTCCCGCAGTCACTGCTCCATTGCTGCATCGTGGGTAGCTGCTCCCTCATGTGGCTCCTCCTCCTCTTCATAAGTCTGAGCTGCTTCCTCAAAGTCTTGTGATCTGAATTTGACCAGCTTCTTCCCGAGATCAGTTGCACAAATGCCTCTTCTCGAAACTTTAAACATCCGACTTGAAACAGCCACGACTTCTCCTGGACGGCTTTCAGTTTTGCTGCTTTACTACTTACTTCCTCTACTCCTACAGAGCTACAAAGGATGAAACCAGCTTGCCTCTGTCCCACCAGAACCTGAGAAACACACTTCCTCGTCTCTTCATCAACTTCACACCAGCCACCTTCAAGTTGAAACTTTGGCCTGGGTATACGGCTCCTCTTGATGGCTGCTCCACAAGGTTCTGAACTTCTACACCTCTTTGTTGTCTAACATCTTCTTCTTTCTTCTTCACAACAGCTTTCTGCTCCAAGCCAGCTTGTCCAGCTGCTGCCTGTTCCACGTCAAACTCTGGCACTGAATTTTTCTTCTGCTCCGTCTGCTCACAAAACTTCGGAAGCACCACCTCAAGTTCCTGCGTCTGAAACTCCTTTATCCACTGCAGGTCTTCGTCTTCTTCTGCTGGTTGCTCAATCTGATCAGGCTGTTCATCTTCCACCAGGTTTTGCTTCAACCTTGCTTCAGCTTGCTCTTCCACATGAAACTTTTCTTTCTGCTGAACAGGTACCAGCTCCTCTTGGGTAAAACTTCTTGTTTCTTGATTGTTTGATTGTTTGTCGTGTTCTTTGATTGTTTCTGGATCTTGTGCTTGCAATTCAGCTTGAATTGCTTTAAGTACTTTCTTGTTTTTCTTCCATTCGGTTTCTGGGATAATTTCCAGTTCATCATCGTGATCTTGTTCTTCCAAATTATCTGGTTGTTGATACTTGTATTGTTGTCTCGTGATTGCTCGTATTGCTGGTTCTTCATAAGTTTGTGAGTCTTCGACTTCGACCTCAACATTCCATGCTGCAGGTGGTCTTGCTCTTGGAGCTTGATTGTTTACGACTTGGTTATTTTCATGATTTGCATTTTGGTAAGGTTGCCGAGGTCGATTATCTTGTTGTGGTGCAGGTTGCTGGTTGTAATTATAACCTTGAGCCTGGGGTGGTCTTTGATTATGGTTGCGATATGGTTCTTGATCATAATTGTAATTTCGTGGGGGAGGACGTTGATAGTTGTCATGAGGTCCATCACGTGGCTGATATGTATTGTAGTTTCTTCCATAATTTCCAATATAGTTGTTTGGTCTTTGATCTTGAGGGGGTATTCTATTGTAGTTGTGATTGTTCTGACGGTAAAAGTTTCCTCTTTGATTATACAAATTATCATCACGTTGATAATAATTGTTATATCTTGGAAGTTGATTTCGTGGTGGTCGCACGTTTTGATTCCAATTGCCTTGATATTGAGGATTGGGCTCTTGTTGAGGAACATTCTCGATTCTTGAAACTTCCATTGTATTCCTGTATCGGCATTTCTTGGCTGTATGGCCTTCTCTTTCACAAATTTGACACTTTGGAAGCTGTAATTTGCATTCCAAATATGTATGTCCCTCGTTTTTACACTTTGTACACCACACTCCTGCTTTGAGTTCGGTTTGTGAGATTTTCCTAATTATATCCTTCAAGTCTTGGTCTTTTGGTGTTTTCTTCTTTGTCTTAATGCGTATTTCTTCCTCTTCTTCATCATCTGAACCGTCATCGGTTTGTGGAGGTATAGCTTTTGTGAATTGCTTGAATCGCTTTTCCAATGTGAGGATTTCTTTGGAGAGTGTATCAACACTTTCATCATCTGGATTCTCTGTTGCAGCAGCAATTGCTACCATGTTTCTATAGATTTCTTTTAGTCCTTGGATATAGGATAAGCTCTTTCCTTTATCTGTTATCAAATCCTTGCAGCGCTTTGCATGAAACTTAAATCTTCGAGTATAATCTTGAATTCCTTCACGTGATTTTTGCTTGAAGTTTTTGATGACCTCATAGTGTTCTTCTGGAGTTCCACCGGTCTGGAATTGCTCCTTGAATTGTGTGACCTTTTCATCATGGGTCAAAGCATCATTGAGTGTATTATGCCAATCGAGTGCTTTTCCTTTAAGTGTGTATGGGAAAAGTATTTCTCGATGCATTTCTTGCTTGTTCATCTTTACAATTTGATCAAATTGTTTAAGATGCTGGTTCGCATCTTCGGTTTTTCCACCAGTAAAAATGGGATAGGAAATCATGTTCCCTATGGCTGTCGCTGGGTTGATGATTGCCATTTGAAATTGTAGACTTTGTTGGTGAAGTTGTTGTTCTGGTGAGTCTGGATTGGAGTAAAACTTTGGTGCTATGTATTCGGCTTCTTCAAATGCCTCAAACTTTGGGGCGTCTTCACTATTTAGTTCTTTGTTATCGTTGGCTAAGTTGCTTGACTCGGCAACTTGAATTTCTTTATCCTCCTTGTCGTACTTCTCTAATATTGTTTCTAAAATTTGTTGCTGTTGTTGTTCTAGTTTCTCTTTTCCTATCTCTTCCTTTTTCACTTCTCGATTCTTTTGTCGAAGATCTCTTTCCCGGATCTTGATTGGGTCTGGTTTGCGTTTGTACATTCAGTTTGCTGAGTCTTCTCAACTTGAATGTTGAAATAAGTTTCCTGAATTTATGTTTTGCCTAAGTTGTCTGGAGTCAGATGTTGTTCTTCATAGATTGCAAAGTCAAGCTCTTATGTCTTGAGTCTTCAGCAAGTTTGTTTTTGGTGTATAAATGCGAAGTCAAGCTCTTGTGTCTTGAGTCTTCTGCAAGTTTGGTTTTGTAGTAGAAATGCGAAGTCAAGCTCTTGTGTCTTGAGTCTTCAATCGAGTTTTTCTTTCTCGATTCTTCCCGAGTTTCTTCTCGAGGTCACTTTCCTGAGTCTAGCTTAGGAAAGGTCTTGTATTTGAAAAATCTGGTGGTGTAAGTAAGTACGATTTTGTTTGTGGAAGGAGGTTGGTTGTGTCATATATTGATCGATGTAGCTGTTCGCTAGTGATATTTGGTGCTGCTCTCCAAGTTTGGGATCGAGCAGGTATGCAAACGATTGCAACTCTCTTTAGGAGTCCAATCTTATCTAAATTCTTGAACAATTGTTTTGGTCTCTTACAATATGTTGGTCATACTGGAATGCGAGCTCTCACTATGAACGTTTGTGTTTCCCAGTCGTTGGTAGTATTTGAAAATGCTGAATACAGCAGTGGTTGTATTTTAATGTCCTAATTCTTGTATGTTTCTAGTCTCTAATGACGTCCACACGTCACAGTATAGTTTCCAACAGATTCTTGTTGCTTTAAGCCTATGTGTGCGCGGGTTTATCCAGCGCAATTTTCTCTATGGTCGATTGCGTGATGGTGCATTTCCCCGATGCTGTTCTTGCCGGTGGTGTTCTACTTCCCTCTGTCGTATAGCACGTTCTCTTTCACGATCAGAGTCGATCGCTTCACGAACTTCCCAAGGGATAGTCTCAATTAATACCCTTGCATTATAAGTTTGAATCCTTGACGCAGGATCTCCTAAAATACTCCTTAAAATGTTGAGACTGCTTGGACGCACTCTTCCTTGTTGGTTGCGAGTGATATGTAGCTCTAGGCTGGGGTTTCGATGTTGGACCTCAGTGTCAAAGTTGAAGTTTGTTACTGTATTTAATCTTGGCCTATTGTGATTCTGTCTTAAATTTCTCCTCCTTCGACTTGTTATCCTTGAGTTTACAAGTCGTTCCCTTGAACTTGATGCAAGTTCAGGTTCCCGTCAGTTTCTTAAACTCGAATTCCGAATTGGAATTTGTTGATGGCCTTGTCCTTGATTTCTCAATTCTCCAGCTATTCTCGTCCGTCCTAAACGGTGCCAATATGCTATAGCATATAATTCGAGAAGAGTGCTTGTTGGTAGCGTTACACGGAGAGGACTTTGAAGAAGTCGGTAAAGTAATTCCGCGTTCTCTTCGAAATCTCTAAATCTAAGAGTGTCCACAAACCAACGAACTTGTGGTTCAAAAATTCCACACTCTGTTGCTGCTATGACTCTCGTCAAATCAGTGTTGAAAGCAAGCGTTAATGGTTGAAAAGTTTCATGTTTGTGTATGCCTAGGAATTCAACAATCGTTTGTTGAAAGAGGTGTCCGCGATACACCCAAGTCAGGGTTCTTCGAGTTGCAAAGAAATCGAAGTAAACATATTTTTCTTTCAACATTTCCTCATTTTTGCATCCCTCCTATTTGCTAGACAATTTGTAGAAGAGTCGTAGAATCGTTTCTTGAAGTTTTTGTAAACAACTAAAGCTTTGTTTCGCAGCTTGTTCTAAACTATCGTCTCTCTTTTTGGTGTCATTTTCTTGGGCTATTTCTTCTCGTTTCCTACTCTCCTCCGCTGCGGCAATGTCATCCCTGATTCGGAGTCTTGCTTTTGCTTGCTTGCAAGTGTCGCATCGCCATTTTGGATAGCATTGCTTGTACGGTTTTGCACAATTTCTGAAACCACACAAAAGGCAGTCTTCGTATCTTGTACAGCTTGTGTCTCCAAATGGGCAGTTGTGCTTTTTCATTCTTCCTCCATCTCCAGCCGCTAGAATTTTCCCTTAGTCGTTTCCTTATCGCAGATCCTTGGAATATTCGCTTTCTTCAACCTCTCGCCAAAAACAGTTATGCGTATGCTCCAAGTTTTCCACGACTTAGGTGGCTTCAATCTTCAAGTGTTCTTCATCTTTTGGTCTTACGCTCCATTTTTTTTTCTTCATTCCTTCATGCTCTTCCACCGTTTTTGTTTTACGGTCTTGTTTTTCTTGATTTTTGGGGCTTTTTCTTCCTATGCCATTTTCTTGTGCGTCTTTGGTCCGTTTTCCTTGAAGTTTTGGGGGAAATGAGCGTCTTGGTCTGCTCTATTCCATGAGCTCTTCACGTCGTCTCATCCCACCGTGGTCGCCAGTGAAAACTCCTGGACTGGGAGGAAACGTCCACACGAGATCTTCCTAGGAGATTCAAATCTAATCTAGTCCCTAAAACTAAAACTACACTACGAGAAGAGTGCACTTACCTGCTTGTACCAAGCCAAGTAGAGACTGTGAACATGTACTTGAAGGTGCTAGTCCCACGCCTTTGATCCCTTGAAGGCGGTGGGTAAGTAAGACATTGCTGTGAAGAGCCGAAGAGATAAGCAGTAAGACGATGTAGTGCAATGTATTTTGTATTAGGGATAAGTCTAAAAACATTCTAAGTCCTACTTTTATAGTCGCTACTGCTCACGTCAAGGTTAGGAATACAGTCCTAACCTTGAACCTCTCAAGTTTACTTTCCTAAGCTTGAATCCTCGAGCTTGTCTTTTTCTCCCTTTTCCATGGCGTGAGGCCACATGCTATGCCACATGCAACGAGGCTTACCTGCCAAGCGCTAGTTGCTAGTGCACGTCCTTGTCCTGGTTTTTGTGGCTTTGGTGGGTGTAGTGTTCGAACCCGATGCAATGGCATCACCGAGTAGCTTCTTTTTTGGAGTAGGAGAGTCGGACGTCGGCTTGAGCTTGACCACCCTTTTCTGCTTCGGGGTAGTTTCCAGATCGACCCCCTTCCCCTTCGCTTCGCGAACTGGAGTCACTCTCAACGGCTCAATGTTGGAATATAATTTTTGAACATCGCCGTAGGTGAGGTCCGTGGATTCCATGTGATCTTCATAGACCTGCAGCGTCTTTGAAATTGTGGGCCTCCTGGACAACCTCTCCCTAGCTCCCTCTAGGAATTCCTCATAGCCGCTGCCCCCCTCCGGGAAGCCGCTAGGATGTGCAAGGTGGATCTTGAAGGCGGACGCTGTCTCTACCACAAGTGCCAGTCCATATTCTTGCATGGAACTGCATGGAGTATCTGTCACTTGGATAAGGATCCCCATGCATTCTTTTCTCCCACCATTTGTGTTGTACAACCTCAGATCCTCGCCTTCCATCCCGAAAGTCCAACTGGTGAGCTCCTCCCCCTTCTCTGCATCCACATTGATAGTGGCTGGAAGAAGAACGCAATTCTTCGCCTGTTCAAAAATGCACAACAATTAGAGCTGACAGATGAAAAGCTAGCAGCTGGAAATAACGTGAGGCCACACGCCATTCACCACTACATCAGATGTCTTGAGGCTGCATCCTAAGATGGCGTGAGGCTACACGCCATCTGTAACCGGACTGCACTCGAGAGCCCAATCGGTGCATGCCAATGTTGCTACTGAATGGCATGTGGCCTCATGCCATTTTCTACTTGGCCTAAAAGACTTACCATTTGAAGCCGAATGGAGGCGTGACAATCGAGGCCGAACTCGCTGGCGAATGTGCACTGTGTGTGCAGCGGATCGTAGCAGCAATGCTACTCTGCCACTTACAGTTGGAGAGTGGCGCTAAAATCTCCCGGGACGCCAAGTGGGCTGCGTGTGGGTGGTGGAGTGGGCAGCGGAGTTGGCAGCGAAGTTACAAACTGGGTGTGTCTTGAAGTGGACACCGATGCACACGAGCGCGATGCGAGCGCGAGTGTGATGCAAGCGCGAGTGGACGCCGATGCACACGAG